ATCTTTCAAATTCTTTCCTGCACTTTCTGTGTGTGCGTAAACCCCTCAGGACTTGGTTGATCCATGTTTGGAATGCAGCTATTACATTGTTTAGTCTGAATGGCATAACTAGGTATTATTACATCCTATATTTGGATACAAATGTCATTTCCATTCATCTCCCTTTTTGATTCTAACCTTATTGTAGTCATCCTAGATGTCAAGCTTCGTAACATATTGTGCTGTTCTTAGTCGGTTCATGGCTTCTCCTATCAGGGAAAGCAGGTATTCGTCATTCTTGGTGATTGAGTTGAGTTCTTTGTTGTTCATGCATAATTTCAGTTCGTTTTATTTCTTTCTGACAAACATTATTGGAGATCTCCAAGATTATTTGGTTCTCATTTCCATCCTTGGTATAGGTTAGTTCAGATATAGGTCCTTAGTTCTTCCAATTTGTTTTCGCTTAGTCCGTAGACTATTTTCCATAGTATGTATTGGTTTCCTAATCCTTTCTTGTTGAGTTCTATGTCAATGGCTAGATTGACCCTGTATCTGTGTAGTAGTAATTTGGTTGCAGTTTCCTCCTTGAATAGGTCGTGGAATCTGTAATATTTCTTTAGTATGTTGTCTTTCCAACCTTGTTGTTTTCGTTGTAGTTTGTCTTGTATGGCTAATTCCTTGCTAATGTTAATCTTAACACATTCCTGTTATTATATCTTTAGGTTCCATCTCAGGATTCTAATATAGGATCCTCCTTATATTCTTTGCCAAATTCTTCTGCTGTAATTTCTCATATCTGAATCTTGTCATATTGTTCGTTTTAGTCTTTGTGTAGGTCCATTGACTCAAAACCCTTGTCTCCTCTTTACATATCTTCCAGGTCATTAACTTTCTGTAGTTCTTCATGGTTGATCTTTTCAATGATCACTTGAGTGATCCAGTCTCTTTTGGATACATATACTCCCTGTTGTTTAAGTTGACCAGTACTATTTTAAGTTCACCCATATAGTTGGCATTGGTAGCTCTGACATTAACCATCAACTTATACTTGATCAATAGTCCAGTGTACAGTGCGACCTAACCATAAGTGCCTTCTAGTAGTTCTAGGGTAATTGCCTGTCTATATTATGGCTTGGCCATTGGCCAGTATTGTGGCCATTTTGTGTGCATATATGTCATATCCTGCTACTCATAGGAATCCTCTATACAGTATTCTAGAGTTGAGACCTATATTTTTGATAAAGATCTGGTGATTCTTATCTTTGTTCGTAGTACCTGCCCTGAATTGTCCTTTGACAAGAGTCATAGTTTCTTGGTATTTCTCGCGTAGTCTCTCTTCAGTTGCCTCACCTTTTTGACTCTATATGCAACTGGTGAACTCTGCAGACATACTGTAATATAAAATTTACTACTAAATGAGATTTTGTCCTGGGCCTAGTCCATGTCTGGGTTGTGCTTTCTTAGCCATGGAATCTCTAATACGATCTCATGGTTCTTGAGATTTGCCACTTAGAAGGTTGGTGTTTCCCTATAGATTCCAATTTCTATAAGTACATGTGCAATATAGGTGACATCCCCTATTGCACTTGGATTTCTATCTGAGTAGTAAATTGTCCTTTTCTTGTTTGGTTATTGATCTTGATTCCGTATTTCTTGCATATCTCTTTATCGATTAAGTCCTTAGTTGCTTCTGTATCTATCATTGTGTAAATTTCGACTATTTTGTGTTTGTTAATATGTAATTTCGTTTTGACTATAATTTTGTCTCTGTGTATTTCCAATAGGTCTATTTGCAGTGCTATGTATGTGCTCGATAACTTGATGAGTTTCATTCTCTCCTTATTCCTCAGACCATCTAAAGCTGGGACTGACATCTCGCTCTAGTTGTAATTCTCCTTCGTTGATCAATATCTTAATCAGATTGGTCTTCTTTGGAAATTACTAGAATAGTGGAGTTAGGATTCAAGTATTCATTGTTACTCCTTCATTTCCTCTCACTCGGGGCTTTCTGCAATCCCTTACACTATGTTCTGATTTCCTACTCTTTAGGCATAAGTTGTCTTGTCTTCTTTTATTGTACTCTTCTTGTGAGATATTCAGCTTTTATTATCTCTTAGTCGTATTCAATCCATGGGGTCTCTTCTATCCTCTTGTCTTTTTCTCAAAATCTTCCATTCTGGTTTCTTGGTACCTTATTTACCTGTCTAACTAATTTTATGTTGTGGCTGTGGTTGTAGTTATGGTATGTCTTTTCCGACTATTGCAAGTTGTTGATCCAGTTTTCCTTCTCCATACCCCTGACGGCCAATTCGTTTACTCTGGTCATCCACCTTTCTGTATGCAAAATTGCGTCGTAGTATGTTTTTTGAGTCGTCTGATGAACTATCTCCTGGCTGATATATTGTTGACATTAGCATCATTCATCAACAGCTAATCCCGAA